AAGTCCCCCACTAAAAATACAAACATCTACACCTCAGGCCAAGTAACACAGTCCAACTAATTATTCACTACTGGTGGTCTTTAAGGTTATTATTAAGTGCAATTATAGCTCTAGGATAAAAACTATTCAGAAAACGTGTGGTCCGAGTCTTAAATGTTCTATATCTTCTGCCAGACGGTAACAGTTCAAAAAAGTTATAAGCAGGATGGGAAGAGTCTCTCAGGATGCTGTGTGACTTCCTCAGACAATGGGATGTGAAGATGTCATCCAGGGCTGGTAGCTGGATGATATTCTGGGCAATTTTAATGGTTCTCTGTAGAGCTTTTTTGTCCGCTACAGAGCTACTCCCAAACCATGCCAGAATGCCATAGGTTAGGACACTCTCAATGGTGCTACGATAGTAGGACAGAAGTAAATGCTGAGATAAATTTAACTTCCCGAGCTTCTTTCTATTCAAGCAAGCTTTTCTTAATGACTGGTTGCTCTAGTGGGGTTCTTACATGGATTGTTGTGCCTTACTGCTTTAAATGTGTTTTGATGTTGCTTCCGTTTGCTTTCTGTTAGTGCAGTATTTGTTTGATCCTTTTTAGCATTTATATACTTCCTGTTTTTAAGCTTTAAATATAATCTTTTAATGATGTAAGTAGCCTTGGGTCCTTTTAAAGACGAAAGTTGAGGCACACATATTTTAAACAAAATAAGTATCATCTACCTGAGGCTGAACAACTTCATACATTTCTTGAATGAAACCACAAAGGATTATATCAAATAAAGCTTCTTGTGTTTGGGGTATCACAAGGCCTTTTATTGTTTTATTGATTACTGTAACAAACAGAACAGCACTTGAAAAACACAGTGTGTAAACCAGTGTTTAGAAATGTTACCCTTTTTAAATTTTACTAAACTCCTAGAATTCCTCCAGCCTTGTTGGGGGATTTTGGGAGTTGTAGTCCCCCAGAGATAATGTTATCCAGCTCTCCTTTAACCTGAAATTTGCGAAGCCTTTTTTCCATGTTTAATCCCTGTGGGCATTTTTAATGTTGTTTTATTCACTCTATTCAAATTTTATTGTTCCAAATTTTATTTTGTGAAGCTCCCTGGGGCAGTTTGTCCTGAAAAAAGCTGCGTAAAATATTTTAAATTATATATTGTTTAAAATTAATAAGGTATATTCATATGATATCATCTCTCAGTGATGACATCATGGATACGCAGCGTGACGTAATACTATTAACACGCTTTTCTAGCCCTGGCAGGTAAACAAAGCCAGCGTTGCTCTGGAAACGTATAAATACCCTTTGCCCTTCTCTGTTCTTTCTCCACCCCTCCGGGCGAAACAAAAGCCTGTTCTGCACTGGGATTGGGTATAAAGTCATGTCTCTCATAATAAATGGCCAATCGTTTTTCCCCATGGGGGAGAGGCGTTGAACCTCTATCCAATAGTATGTCAAGAAGGAGCTGCCCGTTTCTCGTGGTGTTTGACGAACTGTTGAGCGCTCCTCGCACTGAGATGTGGACATCAGCCAATTGTTCCGTTGAATAGGCGGGAATACAGACCCTCGGGCCAATAACGATTAGCGAGAGGTGGGCTCCTTTCCCAAAGTTTTTTATGAATGGTCAAAATTTCTGAAATTCTAGCCCAATAAGTAACAAGAGTGAGGATGATTGACAGAAAGAGTTCTGGATTAATTGAGCCGAATGGCTGGGATTTGTGCGGAAGAGACCAATAGACTATCGGCGTACCTGTGACTGACATTTCAGTAACCCAATGGGGCGTAAACCGCCCCTGCAAGGCGTCAGCGTGAACCCCGCGCACCCTTCAGAACCGAAGCCGGGAGCTAAAATGGCGGCTGCCGACGGAGATGACTCCCTTTACCCTATTGCTGTGCTGATCGATGAGCTTCGGAACGAAGACGTTCAGGTAAGGCCCGCTGCCTGCGGGAGCTTAGCTGGGACTTGAGGAAAGCGGTTTGGAGATTATTTGGGTGGTCGAAGCCTCTGAGGAGAGTGCCCCGGCACAGCAACCAATCAGCGGCCGCTTTTCATCTGAGAAACGCGGGTGAGAATGATGAGACGCGGAGGCGGATTGGCTGAGACGCTTCTCATTTAAAAAAAAAGTGAGGAGGAGGGTGTTGGCTAATGAAAGGCTCCCTATTATCCGTGGACCCTTCTTTTGCGGGGGGATGAGAACGGCCACGTGATTGGCTGGGTGACCTATTTGTCCGTCATTGGGGAGGGGGACCAGGAGGGTCGAGGGTCTCGTTTTAGTGTACGTATGTATTCGGCTTAAGAAGAGGAGGCTTCCGCTTGGACTAGGCCTCTCCCATTCATAAGCGTCCTGCCCGGTCAGGGGAAGGGTGCTAGGCAGCTCCCTAGTGTAATTTAGGGCGGGGGAAAGGGAAAACTACAACTCCCAGAAATCCTGGCCAGCAGAGGTGGTGGTGAAGGCTTCTGGGAGTTGTAGTCCAAGAACATCTGGAGGCTCAAGGTTGGGGACCACTATGCTAGAGGATTATTTAGGTAAAATCGCAGCTCATTTGCATTTAAACAGAGAGGAGAAATGGATGCCTTGGTCATAGAGGGTCGTTAATAACGAGATCTTTTTTTTGGGGGGGGAGTGTTCTCCAGAGGGAAGCCATGTTAGTTGTGGCCCTGTGGTGTCTACAGGGGTAGGTGATTTTCCTACCATTCTGTTTCTTGCTTTTTTTCTCTCGTTCCCACCCCGATCTCCTGCCCTCCCCTTCCAGTGCATCGCTTTTGATGCCTGGTTTAATGCCTGCCATTTGGGTCTGGGCCTTTTGCATCACTGATATAAAGATTTAATAATGCACAAGTAATGAGGTGTTTGGATCCCATATTTAGGTAAAATCGCAGCTCATTTGCATTTAAACAGAGAGGAGAAATGGATGCCTTGGTCATAGAGGGTCGTTAATAACGAGATCTTTTTTTTGGGGGGGGAGTGTTCTCCAGAGGGAAGCCATGTTAGTTGTGGCCCTGTGGTGTCTACAGGGGTAGGTGATTTTCCTACCATTCTGTTTCTTGTTTTTTATTTCTCCTTCCCACCCCGATCTTCTGCCCTGCCCTTCCAGTGCATCACTTTTGATGCCTGGTTTAATGCCAGCCATTTGGGTCTGTAGAAGGGAATGGGTGTTTGGCATCGCTGGTAAAGATTTAAGGATGCACAAGTAATGAGGTGTTTGGATCCCATACCGCAAGGGCTGCAGAAATCCGGTTTGGTGATGGTTGGCCGGGAGGAGCAATAGAGCACATCCTACACCCACCTATCCCTGTTGCTTTTTTGTGTGTATAAAAGCAACATAAATGTACAGTATTTCTGCAACTAACAAACAAACGTGTTGAATCTTAAAGACAGATAACAGCTAATTCTCATAGGCTTTCCTACCATGCTGCTTGCTGCCTTCATCAGATATTATCTTTGAAAGCTTATGTCAAGTAAAATGTGTTAGTCTTGAGGCTTGCACAAGACTTCATTTTTTTCTGCTATAAACTAATATCGGTTTAGCCTTGAAAATTGTCAGTGCAGAGTCTCATAAAACAGACCTTTGGAATAACTTACAGTCTGAATTTCAACAAAGTTGGAGTAAGGGGGGATGGCAAAGACAGAGATATCTAGAGTTCTGGCAGATAGATATAGATGATGTTGAGTAGCTTTGACTTACACAAAGTTGTAAGTGTCTCTTCTGGATTTTTGTCGGATTCAGAATTCACCAAGTGGCTAGCCTTGTCACTGTAACCAAACGGAAATCTACATAGCCTTTTATCTTTCATCACCTTTGGTGCTCCCATCCCTCCCTCTTTATCATACTCATTGTGGAATGCAGTTTGTATATTCCTTGGGGTCCCGCTTCTTGCTTCATTAATGTGTACATTGATGACGTGAGATAAAAATATATGTAGCAGGTGGGATGTTTGTTCCGCAGTGTAAGTCAAGCATAGGTAATAAAAAGAGTACAGGACACCTTTTCTAGTATAAGTAGCAAGTGTGAACTCCTGCCTGCTTATCTCTCACACAGTACTCAGAAGGTAGATTTATCGAAGTCTGAACAAATCGAACATAATGATTTTGGCTGTTTCAGTGTGGTCTCATTCACCTAATAAGACCTTTCACAATTTTTAAAGTTAGAGAACACCAATAGAAGTCTTTTTGAAAATGGGATTAATAGGTGTGTTTGAGATGTCCTACTCAGCAAATTAGCAGCTGGTGGTGGGTTTTTTTGGGGGGGGGTAAACTTTAGTCTGTCGCACAATCTCCAAGGGCAGTCTTATGTACATTGCATTGTTGTGGTGCCATCTGGAGCTTCCCAGACTGTTGCTAAACACTCATGTTCTATTTTTGTTTCATATTTGGTGCCTCAGTCTTGTTTACATGCGAGTGCTATGTGTCGTGTGTGCTCTTTGGGCCTTCATTGAAAATGCTAGATCAATCCATCTTATGAGCGTAATATTCAAGGGACAGAGGTGGGCAAAGTGTGGTTTTTCCAGATATTACTGAACTATAGGTCCCATTAACCCTAGCCAGAGTAATTGGTGACGAGACATACTGGGAATTGTACTCAAACTGCAAAATCTGGAGGGCTACAGGTTGTGTGCTCCCAATATGAAGAAATGTAACCCCACCTAAAACAGGTTAAATACTACCATAAACCCAGGCAGACAGATTTCCCTCAGCAATTACTTCAGTCAGGACTGGGCTTCAATTTAAACAAAGTATTACTTTCATATTAGACAAGATGTCTTTTTGTGCTCTGATCAGCTCTAGGCAGGAATGCAAAAGGGCCTCTCTATCGGCTGTAGTTATTTTTTTATGTGTCTGTCCAGAGCCATGCCTCACTTGTCCTCCCCTGTCAAAACCTGCTACGCTGAGGATCTATTGGGACAGGGAGGGGACTGAGACTGGTTTTGCAGGTCAGTGTCATAGCATGGGGGACTTGGTGTGTCTCATTCATGTTGAGGCACAGTTATGCCCTGGGCAGAGCTGAGAGATGATCCTCTTTTGGGCTGCGTTTCCCAGCCATGGGTTTTTGGGTGGGAGATTTAGGGAGGAGTAGTCCAAAACAAAGAAGCTTTTTCAAGTTCTGACATTGCATACAGGCAAGCTTCTGTTTTCTCTTCTTCTTTGGCCATCACCATTTATGCTCAGAGGGGTAGAACGTGAAAGCTTTTAACATCTTCTCTTTGAGGAACTAGAAGGAAGAAATCAGCTAATAAGAACCACTTGCCTGTGGAAATTTATAAATTCCCTGTAGCAGAGTGGCTAAAACTGACTTTTTTAAAAAATTGGGATTTTAAAATGTAAAACCTTTTTGTTTTTATTGTTAAAATGCATCATGTTTAGAGAAGTGATAGTTTTAATGTAAACATTATCGTTCAAATATTTCATTATGGAATAGAGATTCTATATTGTAATTCTTTATTATGAGACAGTGTGTTTGTATTCCCCCCCCCTTAAAGTTATGTAAATATGCTTCAACAGTTTTGCAGTTGAGGCCCCAGTATTATAGGGTTCTATAGGTTTCTCTGTGAATTTTTTTAGGTTAAATCATTTTCTCTCCCCAAGGACTCAGTCTTGTACTTAGTCTAGAACAGTGGTTCTCAGCCTAGGGTCCCCAGATGTTCTTGCCTCTAATTCCCAGAAATCCTGGCCAGCACAATTTATGATGAAGGTTTCTGGGAGTTTTAGTCCATGAACATCTGAACCCAAGGTTTAGAAGCACTGGTCTAGATGGCTCAGAAGTTTATGTCACTGGTTGCAGAGTCAGAGGTTGAGAGTTTGATTCCCCGCTGTGACAAGGGCTGGACTTGATGATCTATAGCAGTGGTCCCCAACCTTGGGCCTCCAGATGTTCTTGGACTACAACTCCCAGAAGCCTTCACCACCACTTTTTGCTAGCCAGGATTTCTGGGAGTTGAAGTCCAAGAACATCTGGAGGCCCAAGGTTGGGGACCACTGGAGGCCCAAGGTTGGGGACCACTGATCTATAGCAGTGATGCGAACCTTTTTGGGCCCAAGTGCCCAAACCGGGGGGGGGGAGCGGGTGGCAGCGGCAGAACCGAAAGTGATGGTGGAAGGGAGAATCCTGGGCACGGAGGTGCTTTTCCCCAATTTCTGATGGGTCCTGCATGCTTCCCTTGCTTTTGTGCATTTCCGGTGTGCTCCGTTTGTGTTCTTTCTGTTTGTAGTGGGTCCTTCATGTTTCCCTTGCTTTTTCCTTTGCATTTCCAACCTTGTCTCTCTGTTTTCTGTGCATTTCCAATCTGTTCTGTTTGTTTTCTGTGCATTTGCAATGGGTCTTGCATGCTTGATTGCTTTTCTCTCTCCCCCCCCCCTTGGCCCAAAGGGATTAATTGCATTTCCAATGAGTCTTGCTGTGATTTTTTTGGCTATTTTTCTTCCCTTTGGCTGGAATGGATTAATGGGGTTTCAGTGCATTCCTATGGGAAATGGTGCTTCAACTTACGACCATTTCGACTTACGTCCATCTTCTGGAGCAGATTATGGTTGTTAAGTGGAGGCACCACTGTATAGTGTACATCTTGGAACTTTCTGTAACCAGCTTATCCCTCTTTAACCAATATTGTATGGGGAGCCCAGTGAGCTCCTTCTTAAAAATGATTATTTGCTGTTTTCCTGTCTACCATTCTGTATATTCTGTAAGCCACCCAGGGTAGATTCCCAAATCTAGAAAGGTGGGGTAAAAATGGAACAAATAAATAAAATAAATAATAGCATCCCTTTATTGATTCTGCTTCTTTATAGTAATTGCAGATCCAGACAATTGAAAAGAGTCCAGTTAAGCTCTGTTGCATGTCCTTGGAATATGAGGTTATGAACCCTCAGGGAAACCTTATCTTATATTGTACAGTTGTTCCAGTTTGCCATCAGCCTGCTTGATAAATTGCATGGCTTATTGTGAATCTGAAGGGATGACTTAGCATAGAGCTCCTGATTTAGGAGATCAGCTCCCATGTGCTTGCTGCAGTTACCACAAATTTAGTTACATTAAATATTCTCTGTGAACTCTCGTGCAGCAGTTTCTGTTCTTCAGCAGAGAAGATTTTGTGCTAGAGCAAAACAAGTGCAATAAATGGGGAGGTACAGGAGCTCAAATCCTTTTTCACCCTTGTATATGCCAGTCCTTCGCATGTAATGTCTGCTACATTAAAATGTGTTTTTTCTCCTGTAGCCAAATCCAAATTCAGTCTTTGACGGTAGTATTTTGTTTTTAGACAGCAGTTTGTGTTTTCTATCCATGATCAGAGAAATACCCATCTTAGATTAATGAAGATGTTAGACTAGGTTCTGTGTAAGTGGACTTCTGAAAGAGCGAGCTGGGTCAGGCACTGGTGAAGGCAAAGGAAACACACTGACTGCCTTGGCACCAGTAATCTGTAGCTTTTGTGTACAGTACTGTTTTCTCATGGAGAAGAAAGTGTAAAATATTCTTGGATCCAGCTCTAGGCTTAGGTGGTGGCCTATGTTGTGTTTCTAACCAGTGTTACTCAGTTACTCAAGGATACTGAGTAACCTGCCATTCATGCCCTCGCAGTTTGTATACAGGCACAGCATTACAACTGGATGTGCGCTCGCGCAAGAGAACTGGTGCTGCATCCTGGAGCAAAGCTGCTCTTTTCATGATTGTCCATCTCCTGTATGTGTAGCCTGGTTTATACAGGTCTTTCTCAATGTGGCTGTATATGTGCATGCATGAATGGATTTCAATATATAACAATATGGTGTGTTTCAGTGTGTGTTTTATTTTTATGTGCACAGGAAGTATTGTGAAGATGTCTTCACTATGGTGTCCTCCTCATTTCTAGCATGGTCAGGAACTATGGCGTTTAAGACACCAGACACTAGGTTGAGGAATACCAGCTTATTTGATTAGCATTATAGCAGTGCGAGTTGTCCAAGGACTAAGGTTACAGTTGGACCGTGCCCCCTTTGGAATCAAGTGTGGCCAGTTACCATCCGTCACTCCTCTTTTTGAATCTTTGTTTTCTGTTTTTTCTCGTTTTCATCCACAGCTTCGTCTGAACAGCATCAAGAAGCTGTCTACCATAGCACTGGCTTTGGGCGTTGAGCGGACACGCAGTGAACTCTTGCCTTTTCTCACAGGTACTGGAACGACCTTGCTCTTTAACAGTTGCTGAGCAGAGGAAATAGACACGGGATCTGAATACTGAAACTCTGGTGTGGCTTTTGCCCATGTGTCTGTGCCAAGCTTTCATAGCAGTTTTCTTTTCAGAGTAGCACTGTGAGTGTGCTCTGTGGCATTTAGAGTCCCACAAAGCACTACATCCTCCTTTATTGTGCTTTGATTGATAGAATGGTGCCAAAGAAAGATTTAAGGTTTTCCTTTTGACTAACTCCTTGTGACTCAAGGTTGTTTGCCTGCCCAAGGTTCTGCTTTGTAAAATTAATTAATGGCCCTCCCCAGTGCTTTCCAAAGCTTCCATACTTTGGCTGCTTTAAGAACAAAGAATTGCTTATTAAATTCTGCAAAAGCCCAGAGACTTCAAGATTAACAGATTTATTATAGCATACATTTCTGTCTGCTAGATTGTGTATGATGAAGCTCTGCAGTCCATGAAAATTCACACCAGATTTTTCCCTCTAATGCATTTTGTGTACAGTATTTTGAATTACAACTCCCAGCATTTGTGCTGACTAAATGTTGGTAGTCCGAAACATTTGAAGCCTTACGCCATAATACAATGGTTAGACTTTCAGGTCCCACAGAACTCTAGCAACTTCAGTGTTGTGGAAAGCTTAGTTGTGGAAACAGACCAGCAATGAAACAGACTGACTTCGTTTATTCTTCTGGAAGCTGTCTCCATTTAAGTTGCTCTAAGTCACACTATCTGGGTTGTCCGGGATATCCAAATCTTTCTGGTATAATTCCTCTGTGTATTCTTGCCATCTCTTCTTGATATTTTCTGCTTCTGTTAGGTCCCTTTGTCATCTCCCTCTTTGCACAAAATGTCCATCTTTGCATAAAGAGTCGGACACGACTAAATGACTAAATAACAACAAATTAACAATTTCGGGGAAAACATCGCAAAGCGATTTTTCCCCATAGGCACCTTCGTTATACGATCGCAAAAGCGATGACATTTTTGCCATCGCTATGCGAATTCGTCGTTAAACGGGGCACTCGTTATACGAGGCACCACTGTACAATGGTTAGACTTTCAGGTCCCACAGAACTCTAGCAACTTCAGTGTTGTGGAAAGCTTAGTTGTGGAAACAGACCAGCAATGAAACAGACTGACTTAGTTTATTCTTCTGGAAGCTGTCTCCATTTAAGTTGCTCTAAGTCACACTATCTGGGTTGTCCGGGATATCCAAATCTTTCTGGTATAATTCCTCTGTGTATTCTTGCCATCTCTTCTTGATATTTTCTGCTTCTGTTAGGTCCCTTTGTCATCTCCCTCTTTGCACAAAATGTCCATCTTTGCATAAAGAGTCGGACACGACTAAATGACTAAATAACAACAAATTAACAATTTATTTTGCCTGCTGGTGGAAGCTTACTTCTTTCCAGTGCAGTATATAGGAATTTCGGAGACTAAGAGCAGCAGTAACATCACTTACTGAACACATGGCAGAACAGAAACAAAACAGACTTAACCTGTTTCTGGAAACGCAAGAGTCTTGAGGCAAGTCATGTCTCTCACAACTGACCTTTCCAGGACACTGATATTACAAAAGAAGTAGTCTTGATAGATCGAATTTTTTAAAGTAAGTCTCCTTCTGAAATAGTCAGTGTTATTGGTTGGTTTGGAAGAAGAAAATGCCGTTGGTGAGATAATGATAAATCAGGACATATACAGAATAAAAGTTTTATCCTTTTAACATCCAGGTATTTTAGTCATGTTTACTGTGCACAAACATCCTGGGTTTTATTTGCAACCATGACTGTTAGAAGCTCACTCTCTAAAATAAATATAATACATGGACGCTCTGGGCCATTTGCTACATGAAGTTTTGGTGCAGGATAATATGTTTATACTCATGAAACAAAGATCATCTATTGTTAATTAGGTATGAATCCATAATTTGCTGTTGGTTGGGCTTTCTGTTGCATTTATGTACAATAGCAAAACGAGACTGTGTGTTGTTTTGTGGGACTGTTTATCTTCACAGTGTACTTATTGCCTGCCCTGAAGTGACAGTGAAATAGTTCACATGAGTTAGCTTTCAGATGTTCACCTCATTTTAATCACAGTAGGTCCCGGGTATCAATGGGGGATCAGCTCCAATCCTCCCAGCAGATGCTGGAAATCACGGATAAGCAAATCCTGTATATAGCATAGTCTCTGGTTCTCTCTAGTGGCCATTGTAATACATCTTCAAAACATGTATTTCGGGGGGACGGGGTGTTAATATTTTCAGGCAGCGGATAAGTGAAACCGTGGGAACTGATCCTGCAGATATGGCAGTACTACTGTACCTGATTCTCATGTTCCATTGCCAAACTAGTTTTAGCTATAAGTAATTTCTTTGTCTTTGCTTGCTTAAATTGTTTTGTGTCTTCCCCCACTGTAGATACTATTTACGATGAAGATGAAGTTTTGCTCGCTCTGGCAGAACAGCTGGGGACTTTCACAGCTCTGGTTGGGGGCCCTGAATATGTCCACTGCTTGCTGGTAAGTTATGGTGTCCTTTTATCCAAGGTGGTTGGAAAGAGCCTCACAGATGACCAAAATGTATTGGCTGAGCTTAGCTTCTGTCCTGTGTTAGCTTAGCAGGGCTTGTCAGATGATTCGTGGTGCAGTGTTTAAACTGCAACACTCTGCTCATGGCCCACATTTGATGGGTCCAGGTAGCTGTCTCAATGCTGACTCAGTCTTCCATCCTTCTGAGGCTGGCAAATGGATTACGCAGCTCACGGGGAGTGGGCAACATGCAGCTTTCAGAGTTAAATTGTAAACTGTCCAGAGAGTGCTCTTAAGTGCTATGGGGTGGTGTATAAGCAACACTTTGCTTTCCAGAAAACAGTGATCTCATGACATAGTCTTAATGTCATGTGTAGGTTATGGTATGTAATTTTGAATGCTTTTTTTTATCCTCATACCTCACTCCTGTGACTCGGCACTTAACTTGCCCAAGTGACAAACACAAATTTCTGACAACTGCATCATTTGCTTTACAAATAATCTTCCCAGTTGATCTTGCTAAAAAGAAGAGAGCTGGATTTTCAGCAGTTCAGCTGAGGCCCCAAACTGTAACGAATGTATTATTTAATTATCATTATGTAATGAATGCATTATTTAATTATTATTATTATGATTCTCTGGTAGTTCATAGCACCAAGGTGAATGGTTTATTTTTCTTTCACAATATCAAGTTTGTGGTGAAATCCAGCTTTATTTCCGTTATTTATTGTCATGATGATCATCGATGGTTGATTAAAATACATTTTGGATGTAATGTATCTTTCTTCGTTCTGCCGCAGCCTCCACTTGAGAGCCTTGCTACAGTTGAGGAGACGGTCGTGCGGGACAAGGCAGTGGAGTCCCTCCGAGCGATCTCCCACGAACATTCTCCATCGGATCTCGAGGCCCACTTTGTGCCTCTGGTGAAGCGCCTGGCTGGTGGTGACTGGTTCACTTCCCGCACTTCCGCTTGTGGCCTCTTCAGCGTCTGTTACCCCAGAGTTTCCAGTTCGGTCAAAGCTGAGCTTCGGCAGTAAGTCATAAATCTTGCCGAGTGTGGTGGGAGACGTATTAATTGAATTGGGGATGACAGAGAGGAAGAAATGCTGATCATATAGAACCATAGGTCCTAGACACCAAGCATTGTTTTGTCTCCCTTTTCCGTAGGTACTTCCGTAACTTATGCTCAGATGATACTCCAATGGTGAGGCGAGCCGCAGCCTCCAAGCTGGGTGAATTTGCCAAGGTCTTGGAACTGGAACATGTCAAGAGTGAGATCATCCCCATGTTCTCCAACCTAGCTTCTGATGAGCAGGTCTGTGTGATGGTGTGTTCAGATCTGGGAGAGAATGGGAGGTAACTGAAGAAAGGTTAGGACTCTATAAAGCACCAGTACACTAAAGGGAATCTCTTTTCCGTTACTCCTTCCATGTCTCTTATGCAGGACTCTGTGCGCTTGTTGGCTGTGGAGGCATGTGTTAACATTGCTCAGCTGCTGCCACAGGAAGACCTGGAATCTTTGGTCATGCCCACACTACGGCAAGCAGCGGAGGACAAATCTTGGCGTGTCCGTTATATGGTGGCTGATAAGTTCACAGAGGTGAGTGCAGCTGCTTGTCTGTTTCAGCAGTGCCCGGTGATTTGGGTGCTGCTGCTTCTGTTTAAAAGATGGAACCTTGCCTTATGTTCTCCATAATATATCAATAGTAGATCAAATCAAACCCAGCACCCTTGTTACTCTGGGCAACAGAGTATCCCCATACTTCTGCATTCTCTCAGGCTATCTAGTGGTTGGAACAGAATTCTTTTTGGCTGGGAGAGGGGTAGTATAAGGCGTACAGTGGACCCTCGACTTACAGACGGCTCGACTTAGAGACTTTTTGAGTTGCAGACTTCTCTGGCTGCAAAATTTAGGTTCGACTTGCAGCCAGAGAATCGACCTACAGACCAAAAAAAACCCAAAATGGAACAAAAATGGCCGGTTACGGATTAATCGGTTTTCAATGCATTGTAGGTCAGTGGAGACTCGACCTACAGACTTTTCAACCTGCAGCTACAGTTCCAATACGGATTAATTCCGTAAGTAGAGGGTCCACTGTATCTGACTGACTGAGTCCAATCCTTTCTTTATAGCTCCAAAAAGCTGTTGGGCCAGAAATCACGAAGACTGACTTAGTGCCGGCGTTCCAGAACCTCATGAAAGACTGCGAAGCTGAAGTCCGGGCTGCTGCCTCCCACAAAGTCAAAGGCAAGTTGCAGTACTTGACTTTGAGCTTGGCCCTGTAGGGCCACACTCTTGTCTTTGTAGAAATGCATGAATTGTACTGAGCACAGATGATTCTGGTGGGGATGTAGGAGTCAAGGCGGTATGGTGGTGGTCTGTGCCTTAGAAAATCATTGAAATCAAAGTGGTTGCAGATGTTCTAGCCTGCTTTTTGATGTCTTGAGGCATGCGTGGTATGCTAATGTTTAGATGAGATGTAGTTATTAAAGACCTGGTGAGAAATGGAGGGAAAGGCTGTGCCAGAAATTATGTGAACAATGCAAAATCCATACCCTAAGTTGGGAATTGCCTTCCTTTCAAGCCTGTTCCCCTAAACATAACATTTAATACATGATAATTCACAAGAGTAAGGAATCTCAGGAGTTGGAAGATGTGGGCCGCAAGAGATTGTTTTGACCAACTCTCATCTTACCTGACCTGTTGGTTGATTGAAGGCTGATAATATAGTGGTGTGGTGTAGTACACGTACGTACATGCCCCATACAGGTTAGATAGAAAGTAGCATACTAAATGAGTCTCGATATTGCAACTGCTAGGCTTTATGCATCTGTGTGCATAGAAATGAATAGGATTTCTTTGGATTCAACTTAAAAGCTGGACATTTTAGAAAAGAGGTCAGTTTTGGGCCTTACACTAATTTGTTTGTTTATACATTTATTTATACATTTATTTGACTTTGTATATCACCCTTTTAGTGCAATGCACTATTCTGGGTCATTTACAGCAGTAGCAAATGACATATACTGTAAAGTACTAGCACACACTAAAAAGTTAAAACATTAAGCGAATAAAAAGAAATGGTGCCAACAACAAATTCTCAGTAAAACAGCGGGACTAGGGGCCAGTCTAAATGACAGAATGAGAAACAGGAAATGATGCCAACAACAAATTCTCAATAAAACAGGACTAGAGGCCAGTCTAAATGACAGAATGAGAAACAGAAGCAGATTTCTCCCAAGGCTGATCCTTGCTGATGAGCTAAACTGATTGTTGCTTATTTCATGGCTGTGATGCCAATTTTTTCTCCTCTAGAATTCTGTGAGAACCTGTCTCCTGATTGCCGTGAAAATGTCATCATGACTCAGATCTTGCCCTGCATCAAGGTAATGCCATCATCTCTGAAGAGTTTTGATTCAGTTTCTATGCATCTTACTGTTCAGTTAGTCCGCTTGAGAGCAAGCTTGCAAGAAGAATGAGAAGCAGAGGAATGCTTGGAAACAGGGCTCTCTTAAAAGGAATATAAAGAAGGAGGTGATAAACGAGGGATACTTTGTTCTACTTCTGGTCAAGACCTTGATGGATTGTATGACCGCAGTGGTTTGAACACGACTGATGTTGACTATGTAGGAAAAGGGGATTTGGGGCAAAGGAGGGTGTAGTTTTAGTTTGCTTGTCTAGGCACTGATACATCATATGAACAATGCCTTTTATTTTATGGGTTACATATTATACAGGACTGGGATGCCAGACAGGTTTGCTTATCAATTGGCGAAAAGCAGGCAGTATTGTGTTAGTACTTCTCCATCTTGTGCTGTTTGAAAATCCTCCTTTTATCGTCCAGGAACTGGTGTCAGATGCCAACCAACATGTCAAATCAGCCTTGGCGTCAGTGATCATGGGTCTGTCTCCCATTTTGGGCAAGGACAACACAATTGAGCACCTTCTCCCTCTCTTCCTCGCTCAGCTCAAAGATGAAGTAGGTGGTTCCTCAACCCTTTTTTCCCCTCCTTATTTGTTTATTTTTTTGACCACTTAATAGTCTTTGCAGAAGTTCAGGGATGATACCCGGAGGAGGAGGACTTCCCTCCTGTAATTTCCTAACTGGCAATATAATATGCCTGTGTAACTTCCTCATCCAAGAGGTATTCCGTGTTGGTGCCGTGGGAGGAGTTTTATGGAATTCACTGTGGCACAAAGGAGGGCCTAGAGATAAAGCTACCAGTGGAAAGCTTTTAAGGGTATAGCTGCCTCCAAGAGAATTGAGCCATATTTAAGTGATAATACAGTTACGTTATATTAGGTGTGAATCGCTGATACAAGAGCAAGTTTGTCTGAATAAGAACCACAGGTAAGTTGTAGAGCCCCCTTTTTTGTATATATAACGCCCAAGGTTCAGCTTCTGGCTTCTCCAGTTAAACAATCTTGAGAACTCACAGGACTAAGCTAGATGGAACAGCCGTTTCCTATGTGGTGCCATCCTTGCCCCAATTTCATTTTTCAGGGGTTTATGACCACATTTGCCCATTTAGATTAGATCAGTGTGGCTGTTTTCCATATCTGAAATGAGGACCTTCTGAAAGGAGCCTGACAAGATCAGAAGGCCGTCAAGCCTAGTTTAGATGTGGTGGAAGGAGGTACCGTATCTTTCCGTGTATAAAACACAATTTTTTTCCTAAAATCATCACACTAAAAATTAATTTTACATGGAAGTAAGCTGAGGAGAAAACAAAACAGCCTATACCTTGCCTCTGTAAACCAGCTTCCTCCAATCCCGAACTTTATGGAACTGACGTCAGCTGATGCTGAACAAACCAGTTGGAACACACCTTGTTGGAGGTGGAGCTATAGGCAGTGATCAGATACAACAGAGGCTCCTAATGTTCGAGCATTCTGAACCCAGAGACTGAATACTCAGAGCTAAGTTTTCTTAATTTTTGAGTTAGAAGGGGGCATCTTATAAATGGGAAGAATGGTAACACAAGTATTCTGCAGCTGGAGATGAACATGTCATCCCACTCAACTTCTGTCATCAACTAGTACTCCTTGTTGCAGTGCCCCGAAGTACGTCTCAACATAATCTCCAACCTGGACTGTGTGAATGAAGTGATTGGCATCCGGCAGCTGTCCCAGTCCCTTCTGCCAGCCATTGTGGAGCTGGCAGAGGATGCGAAGTGGCGTGTGCGGTTGGCCATCATTGAGTACATGCCCCTGTTGGCTGGGCAGCTGGTAAGTGCTCCTTTTGGCCCCTGGGGAATACAGGAGATTGACTTGATGGGCCAGGAAAATACACTGAACTGTATGTTTTCCAGCAAGCTGGACCTTGCTATCAGCAGGACTAGGTGATGGCTGTGTAACAGCATGTTGTTTGTGTTTGTTCCAAGTTACAGTGAAATCATGGGTTCTTGCTAGTAAGCCTGGGAGTACTGCCTATTTGCACCCATCACATTGGGGCTTTATTGAACCCTTTGTGTTGCTTTGCCCTGTGTATTAGAACCTTGTCTCCAACAGATTGCATTTATATTGTATTTAGATTGCATTTCTGGCTGCAGGGAATCCCATGAGGGACAGTTGTGCAAATTAATTTGAACTCTTCACAATTTTTCCATCTTTAGGGGGTAGAATTCTTTGATGAGAAGCTGAACTCCCTTTGCATGGCATGGCTGGTGGATCACGGTAAGGCTCTCGGAGATGAAACTAATGGGCTTTGGCTTTTTCAGTTGCCACAGGCTACTGCTGTAATAAAAATCACGCTACTTGGAGACTCAGATGCAGAGTTCTCCATGAGGATGTTCCTTGAGCGGGCAAAATTAAATGAGGAGAGTACATGCAACTTGTAGGTTGTATACCACCCACTGCTGCTCTAAATGATTAGATTCTCAGCTTGGGGATGCCCACTCACCTGGCAACACTGCTAGGGCACAGCAGGCTTCTGTGCTCGTCGTCATTCACCAGTTTCGTTTGCTACCTTGTTTCCCTTGTCCATGCACTGATAATACCTCTTTTAGATTATTTCCATGCATTGTATGTCAAGTTGTCTTTGAAAATGGTTTTGGAGTGTCAAGCCAAAACGTGGTTGGAAAATGTTAACTGGGAATGAAGAATTGACTTAAAATATAACTCTAGTTTGTCTCCTGTGTTAGCATCTTATCTATTTCTGGGCCAGATTCAAAGTTCCTGAGCTGAGAAAGTCCCAAATGGTTTTGGAAGCAGGTTACATATGGACCTCTTCTCGCGTGTCAACCCCAAACACTGAGATCTTGTGCAGAGGCTCTTCTCCAGGTGCCATTATGAAGACCAAGAGGGCAGATAGATGCTGGAGAAAGCCTCTTTTTTAAAAAACAGAGACTCACCCCCACCCTTGTGGCTCATTTTTGCTGTTAAGACCTGCTTGGCTTCTCCTTTCAGCTCAGTTCTCTGTGCCAGGTCAGAGCGTTGTTTTATTTTCCCAGGCTTTTAAAACTTTAATTTTTAAATCTGTAATCGGTTCAACTGATTTCTTGAATATTCTTTATATCTCTATATGCTTTTGTTCTTAGGGGCCATCAAATTGCTTCCAACTTATGGTGGCTCTAAATTACTGACCTCCAATATACAGTGGTGCCTCGCATAGCGACGTTAATTTGTTCTGCAAAAAATCACATATTAAAAAGCTCATAGAAACGCATTGAAACCCCTTCAATGCATTCCTATGGGCTTAAACCTCCCCGTTCAGCGAAGATCCTCCATAGCGCAGCCATTTTCGCTGCCTGGTAAGCGAGGAATCCGTCCCTAAACACAGCGGGGGGCCATTTTGAAACCCCCGATCAGCTGGCCAAAAATGAGGGCTTTACAATGATCACTTCCCTGTGATCATTGCAAAGCAAAATTCCCCCGTAGGGAACATTGCTTTTGCAATCGCAAAAAATGAGTCGCAAAGTGATTTCGTCGTAAAACGAAGCGATCGCTATGCGAGGCACCACTGTACCTTATCGTTAGCAGCTCTGGTTGGATCTTGCAAACTAGAGGGCTTGGCTTTTTTACTGAGTCAATCTGCCTCGTGTTAGATCTTCCTCCTTTCCTACTGCCTTCTACTTTTCCTAACATTATTGTCTTTTCAGTTGAGACTTGTCGTAATGATGTGCCCAAGGCTTCATAGGTTCAGTTTAGTCATTTTAACATTTGGCGACCAGTAGAGCTTTGCAGTTCCAATATAATAATGATGATAATTGGCCAGTACATCAGTATTGTGAAATACTAATAATTTTTTTGAAAGGACTAGAAGTCTGTCTTCTTTATATTATTTAAAGATTTGATAGTTTGAATCTTTGGAATCAGGACGTTTTGTGATTGTAGGGCAAGTGGCTGTATCTCAAGAAGAGAGCATAGGCCAAAGTAGTTCTTTGCTAATCGCTTTAAAATGTCAAGTGCTTTTATCTGTGACTAGTAATCCATAGTATTGAAAGTGTTCTTTGAAACTAATGGGAATCCATTGTGTGAGCTCCTTTTTCCAGCAGAGAAAATTGATTAATATGGGCTTTTTAGCACAAGGGTAAAATCGTATTTAATGGGAGAAATATTTTTCTAGCCACAGAAGCAATTAAATTCAGGTTTTCTGCCAGTATTTCACAATGAAGTAAAAGTACTATAGGTTGTTTCCATGGTTTTTTCTTTTTTCTTCTTTTAGTAGTTTCACGTAATTTTAAAGAGGGTTTTATTTTTCAATTATAAAAAGAAGTTCCAAGTTTTTTGAATGTGCTTGTTAGTATGAGAACTTGAAATCTTGTAAACAAGAACTACCAATGTTTAAATTTTCATGTTTTCTTTCTAAATGCTTTCCGTCAGTTACTCAGCATAGGCGCAGTGAGTTCCAAAATGAGCCTTTGCTCTTCATTCTCATCCTTGCCCAGGGCAAGGATGTGACATCAACAAAAGCTTCCTCCTTAAATTTCCAAAGACTCAAATGTTCATTGTTAGTCTGAAATATTCCCTTGTAGGGTTATTTAGCGATAATAAATACTAGGTTAAGCATATGTTAAGTTGCTGGTAGAAGTATGCCCATTGATCCTTAATATTGAGCTCCTGGGATTCTACCACTTCATCTCCTGCTTTGAATTCTGATGGGGGAAAGATGCAGGTGGGTCCTCATGAGAAAAAGGATAAAGTCCCAACCCGGTCTTTATGGTTCTTGTATTCTAATTGTTTTCTTAGTGCCCCAGTGCAAAGCCTGTAACATCTTCTCTCTCCCTAAAAGTAATAGAGACTAGAATGATAATTGTGCGACTGTTGATTTTAGTTGATAATAGAAATGCAGTTCATCTCAAAGGGGCTGGATGTGCCTAGCTTGGGAAGGAGAAAAGGGGGATGTGATGTGGTGGGTCTTATCAAACATTTGAAGGGCAGTTTGTCGGAAGAAAGAACAAGTTTGTTGTCTGGGCCTTCAGAGGATTAAGGGCCCTGATATAGATTTAAAAATTCAAATAAAAAAAAAGGAGATATCAGCCAAACATTGGGAAGACCTTCAGGACAATAAGAGCTGCTTGTCAGTAGATTGGATTCCTCAGAAGGTGGTCTTTTCTCTCTCACTGCAGGGTGGTGGTTTTAAAATGAGATGGGTGGTCATCTGTTAGGGGTGCATTACCTGTGGTTCTCCTGCTGCAGCAAACAGGTAGACTGCATACCCCTTGGGATGCTTTCCACCTTACAGGTCTGTGAGTCTGTAAAAGGGTTACCCTGCTTCCCATCTCTGTAAGCATTGCCCAGAGTAAAAGCATTATCAAAAGAAGTCTTTGGTTTAGATTTCTTCCTGTACGTATTAGCAGGAATCTACCTCTTTTCATTTATCTTTGCCGGTCTGCATGTATCCATGCCGCGCAAATCAAGAGCAAGGTCTGTTTATGGTGAACCAAAAAATGACAGAGCTTGACCACTCATGATTTTCTGTGTTGTGCAGTGTTGTTAGCTTAGACCGAAGTTGGCTTTAAACACACAGTAAAGTCGTGCTGGTTTCTCCTTTCCCCTTCTCAGTCTATGCCATCCGAGAGGCGGCGACTAGTAACCTCAAGAAGCTAGTGGAGAAGTTTGGCAAAGACTGGGCTCATGCCACAATCATCCCAAAGGTGCTGGCCATGTCCAACGACCCCAACTACTTACACCGCATGACCACGCTTTTCTGCATCAACGTGAGTTGGGGCAAGGGTGGAGCAGAGAAGGATACTGGGGTGAACTCAGGGTCAGAATTGCTGGCTTTCCAATTGGAAGAGGTCTGTTGTTACTGGAACAAGCACAGACACCATCGGGTGTCTGTGTATTTTCTTTCCAGATTGAAAATAATTTTGAACAACTATACAATTTTACCGTGTGGAATAAATTCTGAACAAACGACGCCAAGCACATGTTTTAAATCTTAAGAAATATATCAACCACATCTATAAAATTTGCTCAGAAGACCTAATACTGGTTCTTTCTGAACTTTGTGTTGCATAGCAATAGTCCTTTCTCATCTTCTCTTGTCTTTATATAAATTGTTAGTTTCTCTAATGTTATTGTGTATTATATTTTCCTTACCCTTCTGACACAAGGAAAGGAAAACTAATGAGTTTCATAAAGATACAAACAAAAGTCCTTCTGCCAGTAATATATTACTTACCAATATTTTATTCATGTTTATAACTATTTTACTCATGTTTATTCAAGAGTCAAACTACTTAGATTCAGAGTACAGTGGAATTCTTATCCTTTTACTGTATTTTATTTCCATGAAGTTTTAACAACCCCACTTGGTGTGCGCCCCCCCCCTAAAAAGTAACTTCCGTGAACAAATGAGATGGAGAATTGTTTTAGGGACTTATAGAGAGGAGGCGTTGGGGGGGGGGGGAAGAGTAATGAAGCCATTGAAATAGATGCACAGTCTTCCCTGTCATCTCCTGCATTCCAGACCTGACTGTAAGAAACTTTGTTCAAGTTGCATAATTGAGATTTCCATGACACATTATTTGAGTTGCCTAGCTGCAGATTCTCGCCTAGTACACCAAGTCCTGTGTACAAAAATAGTTCAGTACTGGAATAAACTGTCTTGTAGGTTTTCGAATGCCCTTTCTTGGAGGTCTTGCAGGGAAGTAGGTTGCTGGTGGGTTTTTGTACTGAATGTCCTCTTGTGAAGCATCTACCGCCTGGCCTGCTAGCTCTGTTCCTGAGTGGTGGTTCTAATTGTCTTTTGATAATTAGTGGTTTTTCTTTTTGTTAACCTACCTGCCCCTGAATCTCAGAGGCACGTCCTTTTTTGGTGGAAACGTGCCGTGACAGGGAAAACCCCCCCCCCCAGTGTTTTCTGATTCCCAGGTGCTATTTTGTTGAGGCTTAGCTTGAAAGATTGCAGTAGTCTTCAGAGTTCAAGCGCCCCTTGGGTGCACATTGTGCAGGGCTCTTTCCTCATTAGCTTCATAACTCCTTTGCTTCTCAGGTGCTGTCGGAAGTGTGTGGACAGGAAATCACTACCAAGCACATGCTTCCCACCGTGTTGCGAATGGCAGGGGATGCGGTAGCCAATGTCCGCTTCAATGTGGCTAAATCTCTTCAGAAAATTGGACCAATCCTGGACAACAGGTACTTGAACATTGCTGGGTGCCCCCCGAGCAGATTGCTTTTGGCAACCGTCTTGCACTTTGCCTCTATCAAAGATGCCTTTGGATTGGGAGAAAACTGTGAGGAGGCAGGGAGGCCTTTGCAAGTCCTTGGAGGCTGGCCATGCTCTGTCTTGGCTGCTTCTCTTCTGTTCATTCCTTTCTATGCTTAACTTCGCAGCACTCTTCAGAATGAAGTAAAGCCGGTGCTGGAGAAACTAACACAGGATCCAGATGTGGATGTCAAATACTTTGCTCAGGAGGCACTGACTGGTGAGTTGGAAGCAATTTTTCCACAGTGTGGTGGGCACTCAGCTCTTTTAACTTCAATATTTTTAGCGAAGGGGCTTCTGCATTTGGTGTTAACAAGGGGAAATTCCATCCTCCGCACTCCTAGCAGCGCAAGTGGTGAGATGAGACAGGAGGCAAGCTAAATGGATCACAGGTCTAAGAATGTACTTGAATTCCTTCCTTGATTTTACGTAAAAGGGAATCTCATTAGAACTGTAAATCATAGGTATATCACTTCAGACACCTGAGATAGTTATGATGTCCATATGATATCAAGTAGCCATTTTGATAGTGTCATCCTCCATACATTTGTCCAATCTTGTTTCAGAACCACGTTGATGTCCATCAGATTTTGTAATTCAGTTGTGCATTGTGTGAAGAAGTACATCCTTTTGTTTATCTTGAGTCTCTCACTGTTTTGCTTCATTAGAAAATCCAGGATAATAACATAAAATGTTGTCCTTACCTGAAAAGCCCCCAACATTGTTGACCTTTTGTCGCAAGGCAGCTGCACCAACTCACAAATGTGTCTGCCTTTCTCTTGAACACAGAAGTAGTTTATTTAACTTGGCTCATTGACACTATACATGTACACTGCCCAGTAACTCAGGGACTGTTGGCTGTTTCTGTGAGCTATTGACGTGTCCTGAGGTTGAGCTGACTTGAATGTTCTGGCTCATGCATTTCTGCAGGTCATCAATTCATGCTGCAGTTATCCCCTCTGTGGGTGGGCAAGGATGGGCTGTTCTTTTGACTTGTTTTTGAGCTCATGGCCTCCTTCAAGTTAGCCGTAGTAGTAGGTGTAACACAGTGCACCACGCCTGGTACCAGAATTATTTGTGCAGGGGAGAAACCCAGCCTGTAACGAAAATGTAGGGCAGCTGACACTTTTTACAAATTGTCCTGAAGTTCTTACAGTAATTTGTTTTCTTTGTGTTTGTTTCTCTCTTTCATGCAGTATTGGCGCTGGCTTGAGCCTTAGGATCTGGCTTCGTTGTCTCTACAGCTTGGATGCCGTTGGACCGATCCTTCCTCCCCGCTTTCCCTGCATGTGTATTGCCGGCCATACTTGCCATCGGATCCACAAGGTGGTATCAGCCAGCATCTGAGTCTTGTCCCCTCTCCCCCCCAAGTTCATCTTCTCCTACTCTTTAGCTCCATGTTCCCCAAACCTTCTTGGGCAGCTGTAATGTTCTCTTCCTTTTCCATCTTAGACAAATTCATTTTTTTAAAACCTTGTTTCATCATCAGGAGACAACAAATGGGTAACCCCCAGTGCAGGCTTGCAGGAGAGGCAGAGCAGCCCCTTAGTACTTCATTTGGCATGATAAACATGACCTGGGCGCAGGGCAAAATGTGGCCTTGGCCTCCGTTTGGTCATTGTTTGCATGAGAATATCCCCAGGGTACTGTTTGTAGCTGAGCATGTAGGATCTTTATGCCTTGCCTCTTTATCCTTGCTTACTTGGCAGCCAGACTACTTTTGCTACTCTCATATTCCAAATATGAAGTTCTGTTTTTTTTTCCCTTCATTCAGCTTCATAGCTCAAGTTGCGGAATATTTGATTCAAAATGAGATGGTTGCCAGGGAAGCTGAACCCAATTTTAATCCTATCCTGATTAGATTTGTTGAAAAGAATGGGATTTATTGGTCACTTCATATATGAATCCCATTTATTCCAAGGGGGTCTACATGAGATGAGGCTAAAATGAGATTTAGTCCTCGGTTAAGAAAAGTTCTCCTTGGCTTAAAATGGAGTGCAGAGCTCCCTCCGCAGTGTTCCTATGAAAGATGGAAAGAGCTGTAATAAAAGAGCTTCTGTTAAAATCTGCCTGTTGATTAAATTTGCAACTGACAATTTTCTCTTGTCTGGGTATATGAGCCTGTCTTAGCTAGAGGAAGGGAGGTGTTGGAATCGCATCTGTAGTTAGGGCAAGAGACAGCAGCTATTACAGAACACGGTGCTCAAGATGGTGGTTATGAAGCTGTTAGGTATTGAATTGCCTAAGTTCTGGAGTACTATCTCTGAACAAAAATCAGCCACCGATTCCCCTGCCTTAAGCCAGCTTCCAGGCTAGGCCCTTTGTAATGGAGAGGCACATTTCAAGGGCAGCTGGGAAGGATGGGAGGAATGAAGGGGATGTCAGATTGCCAGATCCTGAGAGGTGGCGATCAAGTGAATTTCTCCAGTGGCATTTGGGCTTATCTAGTGGTGTGTAAACTTATCAGAATTCCCATTCCTATCATGTGACCACAGAAAATAGGATAACTTCTCTTTTCCCATTTTCAAACTTTGTCCAGTTATCTCCGAAATGATCCGTTTCCTGCTGCCACCTCTGTGGCTGTCTTGCACTGGACGAGTGAAGCAAGTATGTGTGTGCGCGCACGTGCGTGCTAACCACACACTTCCTAACAAATACACCCGCACAATGTTAGTGGCATGTCATTTTTTTAATTGTTGATTTGTGTGTGTACACTTGTTTTGTTTTTTCCTGTCTCTGATTAATAAAATGCTCAATCATTACTTGCCATTGTGTTTACTTCAGACTTCTCTGGATTAAGTTGATGAGGTTTTTTTTTTAATTCTGCTTTAGTAAAAGTTCTTGAAGCATTTAAGAAAGGGTTAAGGTAACTTGTGGGTCTCCAGAGATTGCTTGGCTCCCGTCTCCCCCACCCCCAAGGCTCAAGCAGTGTTGCTGGAAGACAGGCTGTAGCCTAATGGCAGAGCGCACACTTTGTTCCCAAGATCCCAGGTGACACCCCTGGCATCTCTAGGTAGGGCTGGAGAAAATCCTGTTAAGTACCCTGAGGAGATGCTGTCAGTTCGGATGGTGTGGGACTGAATGGACCACTGATTTAGTAGAAGCAAGTTTCCTCTATTCCTGTTCTAGTGGAAGATGAAGTCTTAACATGCGATGAAAGGGATCGTGGCTGCTGTCCCCCAAAGAGCTATAGTGCATTTATAAATTCTCTCTGCTCATTTTATAAAACTTTCAAAGGAGTTATCACAGCCTCAATGCAGAGCCTTTTATTCATCCTCCGTACACAATAGATCCCTCTTCTAATCAACCATTTGTATATTTGAAGAATATCAAGTTCCCTCTTGTGTTTTCAGGCAATAGACACTCAGAAACTACTTCAAATTTTACATTCTCTAGTGCTCTTTTTTGTTCTGTTGCTGAATTTCTCCCCGATCTTGGGCTGCTGCTCCTATGTGGTCTGGAATATGCATACCTATCATTTTCCTGAGATCTACCACCCAGTACCTCCCAGGCGTTGATGCTGTGAGTGGCTATCTTGAGAGAAGCCAGGAAGTCTGTGACTCTGCTCCAGGCTTTCTCAAGGGAGGCCTCTTCCCTGTGGAATGCTCTACTTGTGCCCCTACCTCTCTTGACATTTAGAAAGCACACCAAAACCTTGCTTTTTTGAACAGGCATTTTAGGACATCCTTTTTAGTTTGATTCCTGTGATCCTTACTTATTCTTGCTTGTTGCTGCCCTCTTCTACTTTTTTGTGAGTTGTTTTTCTGAATGGCTGTGGTTTAGTAGGGGAGGGTTGTTATTTTGAATGTATGATTTTGTCCTTTCTGGAAACTGCCACTAGATGGTGTTGGTCTAGAAATCTAATAAATATATAAATAATTGTCAGAGATCGCTCAGCAGTAGAGTCTAATGAATAACCTCAGCTACAGAACTTGTAAAAGATTTAGTTTTCAAGAATTGAACCCCCCAAGGGCTTGAATGGTAGAGAGAGTAAGTGAAATTGGGACTTAAGTCTTCATCCCTTTCCCCCAACTTCACATCTGTTTATTTGTGTAATCTCCCAGTAAATTTTTGCATCTCCCTGGAGAGAGGGGAGCATTCTGGATAAGGACCAGCACTGGCAGCATGCAGAGATGATGTGGATAGCAGCTGCAATTCCTTGGCGTCTCTGCATTAAAACCTCATTTATTCACCCTGCTTTTTTGTATTCTCATCATGTTCCTGGCAGGATGCTTGGAAGATAACGCAAAAAAGTGCAAGTTTTGCCAATGCCATTGTTAGCAGCAATCAGAGGACCTATTAATTGTACGATTGTACTTAATTTGGTCACATTTGGTATTAACAACATGATACAAAAGCCAGCAGCAAACATCTTGGGATTGTAGCAGCAGAGGGCCTTCCTAGACTTAATATTCTTTTTTCATATGGGCTCCTGAAGTCTGTATCCAAGGTTTACCATGGAGCTCTTGATTAGCACTATCCATGGGTGGAATACTTTTTCTGATGCCTCCAAATTCTGCTGTTAAGTGGCAGACCATCCAGAGCAAACAATAGGGCCTAGAGGAAACCTCAGCGCTTCTTATTTTGGGAAAAGAATGACATACTGTATATGCTTTACCAAGAAACAGATTCGAAGCTTAACATTTCCTAGTTGGGAGCATATTGCAGTCTTAATGTTGGCTTTCCGTTAAAAGTATCCAAGGAGTGTGTAAATAGAGGTAAACCGATACTCCATGAAAGCAGATTCCTCCCCACCACCTTTGAACCCCCTTGAGTAATTGGCTTTTTTGTGAGTTGTTCCGTGTTTCCTGCCCATCACTACAGACCCAGCCACCCCTTCCCATGGGCCATTTTGGAGCATCTGCTGTCACTGAAGGAACACTTTTATAAGTTAATCATAGGCACACCCAATATCATTTGAAGATCTGGTAAATCATATTTGTGTGGCCGGATGACAGGCTGAGGTTGAGAGGGAGCAGATTTTGAAGCTTTAATGCAGTGTTTGTCTTGATATATTGAGATAACGCTGTTTTACTGAAAAGATTTGGTGAACCACACCAAATGCTGGGAAGTTGCTGCAAGATGTTGATCAAAGGCAACTTTGTGCCCTCTGGCTCTTTTATGTGCCTGCTGTTAATCTTGCATTCTGTCTTTAGGGCTGTGGAGGAGACTGTCCTTTAGTCTCTGTCAAAGGAAGGTTCAGGTGGCAGTTCTGTCAGCTTTTATGCACATAAGTATCATTGTTCTAGAACTACAGGGTTGGAAGCGGCGCTTTGGATCGAGTCCAGCCCTTGTCTGAGCTCCCAACCAGTCACCTAAATCATGGACCTCTCCTACAGTTTCATTTCCTTGTCTTGCCTCAGGTAGCAAAACGATTTTGACTGGACTTTCAATGTGTTGGCGCTGCAGGTTAAACCGCAGAAGCCTCTGCACTGCAAGGTTGGAAGACCTGCAGTCGTAAGATCGAATCCACGCGATGGAGTGAGCCCCCGTTGTTTGTCCCAGCTCCCACCAACGCAGCTGTTCGAAAGCATGCAAAATGCGAGTAGATAAATGGGTACCACCATGGTGGAAAGGTAACAGCGTTCAGTGTCTAGTCGCACTGGCCCCGTGACCACAGAAGATTGTCTTCGGACAAATGCTGGCTCTATGGGTTGGAAATGGAGATGAGCACCGGCCCCTAGAATCGGACACGACTGGACAAAAATTGTCAAGGGGAACCTTTACCTAATGCTAGCAAGGAGGATATGTCCAGAAGCCTGTAAGACGGAGGGGACATTAGCTGGTGGCCTAAAAAGGCTGATTCGGAGACCAGCTGCTGTAGAGGTTCTGAGGTAGTGACAACCCCATGGGCTATGTCTTTCAGTGCTTCAGGTTGTATCCCTTGGGCTCTTGATCCTCTACCCCTCCACCAGCCCATTCCAGCAAAAGAGATACAAGAGATACCACAGACCTTTGGTCTTAAAGTGCTGTATTACCTCAGAGATAATATCTGTTTCAAACTGCATGTGGATAAGCAAATGATTACATCTACGCTTGGGGATCTTAGCAAAATCCTAGAGGAGGCCTTTAAGCATGAGGCAGTGCTAGCTCCTGCCGTTCCCCAGGCTGTCTAAATGATCGACAAATGGAATATTTGCAACACGCCAAGTCAGAATAATTCTGCACTTTCTGGAGTCGGTTCTGAAAACTAGTAAGCAGTTCAGTTGGAAATGTGGGTGTTGGTTCCAGAAGAGCAAGGATCAGGTCAACAGCCCTGATGTGTATACAGTGGCTGCCATGTTTGCTGATACCAAACCAGGTTCTGGCATCCAGTTCCCATCAGTCAGTTTAGACACACTCAATTATTGGGTGGTTTGGTTCCTTCCAAGCTATGTTTCCACAGTTTTCTATCAGTTGTTTCATGGGCCGGCTTCCACATCTTCTCCCCATGGCGAATTGTCTGGTTACAAAATTACTGCTTGGAAGAGAGGATCTGTTTGCACAGTAAAGGTTGATTTTTATTAAACACAAACAGACTATCACAAGAATCCTGCTAATTTTAAATCTCCACAGAGAGAGAGAGAGAGAGAGATGTCAATTGAAGAGAAGCTAGAAACAAAAACTGGTCAAAAGCAAAACTTGGATGTAACATTTAAAAAGGAACTCACATTAACTTGTTGCTTCTTGGCAGCCAGTTGTCTTCATCACGGCCCCAATCCCACATGTAATGTGTTGTGCGTTATTAGTGCATTGCATTGTCATTTCCACCAGGAGAGAAAAATACAGGGAGATGAGTTCTATTGCCATCTAGTGACCGATTCTAATATTGTAACCTAATATTTACAGAAAAAGGCAAACAGCAACACAAAACAATACTGTACGTCTGTTGCCATATTGGATTGGTAAAAGAATTGTATAAAACCTAAAAACACCCTATAAAAATAACATAACATGGTCCTTAAAAGTACTCTTTGAAAAGCAACTTAAAAACATTGTTATGCCTGAAGAGTAACAATTACTTTTTCTGTGACTTTGGAACTATTCATTACATTACATGTTGCCTCCAAAGTAACTACTGTACTTGTAAGTAGTTACTTCCAGGCACTGGCAGAGAAGGAGCATTTATGGTTCTCTAAAAATAGGAGGTACTAAGATTACCAGTGATGATATAGCGGCTGAGCAGCTAGTATAGTCTCACATGCTTCATCTTCACATTTTTAAACATAAGATCAAATTTCTAAGTGCAAAAGTAAAAAGCAAACACAATAAATGTGTGCAGGAGGGTTCAAAGGCTTAGAAGCTGAGTGTGCTAATGTTTCGTACATTTCAAACATCTTCATGACATTTGCTAGCAAGGCAACACCCATCTCTGGATGAACATCAGCACATTTAATTACCTGTGTCAACCCAGCCACACCAGGTGCTGCTTGCAAGTGGGGAATGAGCAATGCGGAGCCCAGCTCTTCAGATTCTCCATCATGTAGGGCAGTGGTCCCCAACCTTGGGCCTCCAAATGTTTTTGGACTTCAGCTCCCAGAAATCCTGGCCAGCAGAAGTGGTAGTGAAGGCTTCTGGGAGTTGTAGTCCAAAAACATCAGGAGGCCCAAGGTTGGGGACCACTGATGTAGGGGAAAGGAACCTTCAGCCCACCTATCCTTGATATTAAGAGTTCAGCTTCCAGAAAACTCATCGCCATGGCCAATAATTAAGGACTGTGGGAGTAGTTATCCTACACTGTGGTTCTCAACCTTGAGTCCTCAGATGTTCTTGCACTGCAACTTCTAGAGTTCCTGGCCAGCATAGGTGGTGATGATGGCTCCTGGGAGATTTAGTCCAAGAACATCTGAAGACCCAAGGTTAGGAACCATGATCTAATACATCTAGAAAATCAAAAGTTTCTCATCCTTGCCATGACGTACTAGGACTCTTTGGGGCTCTGTTGTCATAATCAACTTTACCGTGAGAGAGGGAGGTGATGAACTGGATCAGTACGAATGGCCAGACTGATAGCCTACCCCACCACTCACTTGTGGAGGAGGAAAAGAGTAGATTGAATTAGCCATGAATAGGTCTTGCCTGGAGCCTTGTACAAAGTTCCTCGCACACTGCCATGGCCTGCCTGTTCAATTCTTCAATGAACCAAGGGACCAACCAATCATTTTGTTCTTTTTATTGTTCCCGCGATCAAAGAGACCGCTGGGTAAGGGTCTAGCAACTGTACACACTGACAATATGCAGCCGAGTTCAGTGGGACTTAATTCTGAGCAGACATAATGCACTGCACTGCGCCAATGATGCTCGAAAATGGTCAGCTTTGATGATGCACTCAGGTGTCCACATCTCGTAGGCTCTAGGTGCTCAGCCATTTGGGACTTCAACCACACTAGGGGGTGGTGAGGTTTGCCCTGGGAATTACTTGTCATATCGTGCAATGTTCAGCTATAAAACAAAACAAAACCCAAGTTTCTACCTCTTGTGGTTGTTAAAAAGGGAGAGACAGGGAGTTCTCGGGAGTCCAGAGAATACTTTATCAGACTTGGGCTTCCAGTGCATTGTTCTGAGTCCCTTCTTCTGGCTATTGGAAGCAGGAGAATGCCAATTCTTTTTTCCCAATGACAAAAACAGCCTATGTGCATTTTGCAAATTTTTGTACAAGTCGTTGAATTTGGTTTTGAACTATCTCGCTGCAAAAATGTTGCATGGGTCTGCCTCCGAGAAGGCTGTCCATTGGGGCAGGTAGAGCACTATCTTGGGGTCTTGCAAAAGATTGCAGAGACCCCCCAGCAGAGAATCATGGATGATAGTGTGAAAGCTAGTGGACCAACATGAGAAACTATTCACCAGTTCAGTAGCTGTTAAAACATTACAGATTTGTACTACAGTGATGAAGAAGGGGACACACCAAAGTTACTAAGTTCCACCTGTTGCTGACTTTGTACCTCCTTTCCATTGCTCCACCAGTCCTAGTGGGAATCTTTTGCCACGGGCATGCCTGATGATAGGAATGAGTTGTGACCCTCCAGATGTGGCTGGATTCCAAAACTCATCAGATCTGATCATTACAGTAATCAAGGATGATGGGAGTTGTAGTTTAGTGGCATCTGAAGGGCCACAAGTCCATTGTCTATAGTCTAGTAGGTCATCTTCTCCTCGCCTATCTTGCAGGATAGGGAGGTCTAGTAGCACAATCGGATCTAACTCATTAAAAAGAGTGATTCCCCCTTCCACAGATGAAATCCCAAGAAGTCAGCTCTTGTTTGTTTCTCAGACATTGGCTCCCGCTGGTGCCTCCTCAAAAGCAGTCCTGAAGACCTGCAGCAAGGACCTCCTTACCGCATCCTGGAACTCCTGCCCCACAAAGACATATAGCAAAGGGTTGATGCAGCTGTTGAACATGGCAAGGCACTTGGAGAGGGGGATGGCCACAAGGCGCATGGCATCTGGCACATCGTTCATGGAGATCCTGGCCAGAGCCAAGGCATGGTAGGGCAGCCAACACAAGAAGAAGCAGAAGACCACCCTGGTGACCACCAACAAGGGTTTGCTGGATTTGTTGAGTTTCTTTTTGTGCATGGTCACTACCAAGATGGTGTAGGAAATGGAGATGACCAACAGAGGCAGGAGGAACTGGTAAAGAAAGATACAGATGGTGAGGACTTCAGCTTCCTGCCAGTCCTGGAAGACATCCAGGTTGTTGCAGGAGCTCCTGTTGTTCTTCTCAACTGAGACCTCAGTGAAGAAGTAGGAGCTGGGGACGAAGAAAGCTAAGGAGAGCAGCCAGAGGAACCCACAAGCCCCCCAGGTGAGCCGCGGGGTGCGGTAGTTCTGGCACCAGACGGGGGCTACCACCAGCACACAACGGTCCACACTGATGGAGCTGAGCAGCAGGACACCGCTGCACACGCTCAGGCCAAAGAGGCAGTTGGCCACTTTGCAGGCCACGGATCCAAAGGGCCAATTCAGATCCAAGGCCAAATTTAGTACCGTGACGAGGATTAGGGAGGTGGAAGCCAAGTCAGCCAAGGCGAGGTTGAAGAACCAGACAGTGTTGGAGGTCCAGCGCAGCTTCCAGCCAGTGACCCACAACACTATTCCATTCCCAGTCACCCCAGCCAGGAAAATAAAACTGAAGATCACACCAGTGATGATCTTCACTGTGTCACGGACTGTGCTGTCTCCAAGGATCTCCGGGGAAGATGAACTGTTGGTGGCTGAGCTTGTTGACATCTCCCTGCCGAAGAGAGAATGAGAAGAGAGGAGAGATATATAATGATTATTTATCTCTTAAGATAGCTTTATTTGGTTCCATAATGAGGATTCCCAGTGTGGTATAGTGGACAGAGTGAATCCCCATTTTGCAGTGGAAACTTACTGTGGGAAGCAAAACGGGTAAAGGTAAAGGAAAAGGTTGCCCTTGACATTTCGAATCCCCATTTTGCAGTGGAAACTTACTCTGGGAAGCAAAACTGGTAAAGGTAAAGGAAAAGGTTCCCCTTGACATTTAGTCCAGTTTCCGTGAGCACGTGGCCAGCACTAGACACGGAATGCCGTTACCTTCCCACCGAGGTGGTACCTATTTATCTACTTGCATTTACGTGCTTTCGAACTGCTAGGTTGGCAGGAGCTGGGACAAGCGACAGGAGGTCACTCCGTCGCATGGATTCGATCTTACGACTGCAGCTCTTCTGATTCTGCAGCACAGAGGCTTCTCCGGTGTAACCCACAGCGCCACATTTTCCTTACCTTGAAAGCCCTACTAGGGACACTGTAAGTCAGTTCTGAATTGACAGCACAGAACCGTGTAACCCACAGTGCCACATCTTCCTTACCTTGAAAGCCCTACTAGGGTCACTGTAAGTCAGTTCTGAATTGACAGCAGAGAACACAAACAGTTCCATAATGCTTTAAAAACTGTTGTTGACTTTGGCTGATAGTGAAAACAGTACAGAAGTATCAGCAGCAGCAACACAGGAATAAGGAAGTGGAAAGGGACAGAAGAAGCTGATTTGGTCAATTCAGTCCAGGGTCGCCAAATCTCACAAGCAGTTT